CGGCGCTGAGTCACGGCGCTCCCCCGGCCCGGCCCGGCCGCTGTCTACTCTTGAAACCGAGACTTAGGGAAATAATTCCGTGGGGTTTTTTTGTTTTTTGGGGTGTTTTTTTTTTGCAGGATGGCATCGTTCTCGGGGCGGATACGAGAGCGACGGAGGGAATGGTTGTTGCCGACAAGAACTGTTCAAAAATACACTTTATTTCCCCGAATATCTAGTAAGTGTTGAAACTGGCCGTTGTGTAACGGGGCTTGAGATCAGTGTTGGGGTTTTTTAGGCGTATCCTTTGCTGGCAGCAAGTGTTAAGGTGTGCTTTAGAGCACTGGTTTACTCTCGTTAGAAAAAGCTTGTTCGAATGTGAATAAAACGTCAAAAGCCGACAGAGTTGCCTTGTTTCATGCTCTGAAAGTGTTGAATATATAAAAACTTAATTTCTTCAGCTTTATGTGGAGAAAGAGGAACACTTGGGCTGCAAAGGCTGTTTGTTTTGTTTTGTTTCCTTCTTGGGGTATAACTATATATGCTGTCCGTTAGGGTTACTAGTGGTAAGAGTTTTGTGTCACAGAAACTCTGAACGCCGCCTTGGAACAGCAAAGGAGAAAGGATCCCCAACCAGCTATAGGGTTGTTTTTTCCTTGAAAAAACTTGTGCCTTTAAGGGATTAAAGGTTGTTGAATAAAGCAAACAGAACTCGTATTTGGCCCTAAAGAGGTGTTTCCTTTCTCATCCTCTCCTACCTTCCCAACTTGCTGGTGATGTTTTTCAGTTGTTGCGGTGCTGGAACGGCTGCAGATACTGATATGACCACCCAGCTGATTTCTTCCAATCTGGAGCTCCATTCGCTATCTACTGGCCGACTGCCGAGAGTTGTCACAGCTAATCGAATGCTAAAGCAAATGCTTTTCAGGTGAATGGTTTTCTTATTTAGAATGCTGTTAAAACCACAGGATAAGACCTGAGCTCCTACCCTGGGAGAACCATCACTTAGTCCACCTGGTCTCCATAACGAGACTTTGAGAAAGGTTTAGTAACTGAATTGAGGTAGAAGAGAAGTTAGGTCTATGATGTTTTAGAGAATTGATGCTATAATCGTATGGTGTTGCTAGTATTTTCGCTGCAAAAGTAGAAGGACAATAATTCATTGAACTGTTGATCGCACCCATGAAAACTTAACTTCCATGTTTGTGGAGAGATGCCTGGACCAGTAAGTAATCTTGTAATGTGCAAGCTTTTAAAATTGTGCATCTCATATGACTGTAATAGAATCTCTATGAATTAGAGAGTTAAAGCAGCCAAGGACATCTCACTGGGGAAATGGAGGAAGACATTCTCTTTTTAAGGTCTCTGAAGAAAAACTTAATTGCAGATACAAGAATTTCATGTTAGCTCTGAACACTAATCTGAACCCTTTCTGTTCAGTAGGGATGCATACAGGTTCATACAATGTTCTAGCACAAATGCAGCATTCAGCCTACTTGCCTGTCATGTTTGTTTTTCTGCTTGACACTTAGCTATCTCATGTTTTAGTAAATGTATTAATTTAAACTGTTGCTTCTAGATAGTAAAAGTTATTTTTCTATTATGGAGATGCATCTAGTGCAACGGAGGAAAAATTCTCTAGCGCATACAATGTGTTTAGAAAGAACCACAGCTTTATCCTATGATGTGTTCAGATTCACAGATAAACATTATTCCTAGGTATCAAGGCTACATTGGTGCTGCCCTGGTTTTAGGGGGAGTAGATGTCACTGGACCTCACCTCTACAGCATATATCCTCATGGGTCGACTGACAAATTGCCTTATGTTACCATGGGTAAGTGATATGCGCCTCAGTATTGTAAGAGAACTGCTGGTAAGAAGTGTAAATTTTTGAGTTTATTATTTAAAATGTTCTTACTTAAATTGCATGGTTTGCTGTGAGTTCAGACTTAAGAGGGTAAAGTTGTGTTTGTAAGGCAGGTGCTATATTCTGTTTCTTCCTTCACCTTTAAAAAGACTTCCATGGACTGTCATGCTATCTAAATCTAAGCTACCAAAGAGCTGGTATTGGGAAAGCTGCTGTGTGGGTTCTCCAACATATCTTAAAGCAAGATAATCCCAGGATTCCCGGAACCTTACTGTAAGAAATCCTTAGAAACTGAGTTTGCAGGTAGTGCTAACTTGTGGTTCCTATAAAGTCTCACTTGGGGAACTACATTCTTCCACAGATTTTTCTGTAGCTTCACTGGGAAAAAACATGCCTTGCTTCTTGCTTGCAACTGTTGTATTTCTCTTACTTGCTAAGTCACAACTGTATTTTACTCGGGAAAGTGCTTAATTATAGTGACACAAAATCACTCTGGTTTGCTTTCTATATGTAATAATTGGTCTTAACTACTGTATGGAATTTCTCAATGGAGAAGTTTTAGTCCTCCCCTATCTAATGATAGGGTGTCAAATTCAATTTAGTTAGCCCATCATCAGGTTTGTAAATGTTACTGTCCCAAGTTTTCAGTCTGTGTAATACTTTCTGCAATAGCCATAATCTGAGCTATATATTAATAACAGTCATTTTTTTGAAGTCTCTGTTACTGTGGAAGATGCTTTGTCTTTTGAAACTGTCATGCAAGATGATCCCACTCCTGCTTTGTCATAGTTCTTAAAGCTGTTCACCATATCTAGAACAAAATGCTTTTTCCTGAGAAATTGCTTTATCCTTCAAAGCACTCTTTGAAATCCAGTTTTGCTTTTAGTTTCCAGGTTTGGGCAACTGTTTTTTTTTTTTTTTTCTGTTTACTTCAAATCCATCTATATTTAGGGTTTGATATTGAAGTAGATATCTAAAGCAATATCAGTTTCTGTAAAGGATAAGCAGAGTAAGTTTTTATATATGTTGGATGAACAGTGAACAGTTTCCAGGTTTTTGCCACATGAGTGCTTTCATCTCCATTTATGGGTAAGCAGGATTGTGAAATGATGTTATTTTCCAGACATACGATGACTTTTTTTCTGTTTTTGTTTTTAGCATGGGCTTTTGGTTATATGTGTTCTTCTTGAGGGGAACCAGAAAAGGGAACTACGGAGGAGAATATGGGGGTGTTCTCTGATCATCCCGGCTTCAGCCTTCTATTTTGTTGGCCAGAGGTAGCTGGAGTTCTAGCTCACTTTTGGATTTCATCACTCCTTGTAACACATCGTTTTTGCCCCTGTTGCTAGGGCAGAGCAATGATGGCTTTCTTAGAGTCTGTGAAACAAAACAGACTTTAATCTACATAATCACCTTACCTCTTCCTGTGCTCCTGTCTTTTCTTTTGGATCATTATTGTATATTCCTCTTGGGCTGTTTTTTCTAGCTGTTAGTCAAAAGAAGCATTTTCTGTGGTCCTTTACATATAAAGTGAAGGATGTGCTTTGCGGTAGCCTGTGATTATTAGAATTTGAGAAATCGCCTTTTCCAACTTGAAAAAGAGTTGCGCCTGTCTTGAGTAACCATTGCTTACTCCTATGTTTTGAGTGTTGTGCTTGAGGGCCTATAGACTCTAAAGATCACTTTTTGGAAATTATTCCTAGCAATCTGGGCCCTAAAAATGAGGAAACACCATATTAAAGAATAAAATGATTGTCAGGGATAAAAGTTTCACTACCAACAGTTAGAAAAGCAAACAAATCGTAAAACTACAATTCTGCATACATCTCAGGCCATTTCTAATTAGGGGGCGTCATAATATTTAAAGCTGAAACCATGAAACTTCTGCATGCTTTTTTGACACTCAAGTACTTCGTCTTGACAAAAACAGTATGGGAGTAATTTTCACGGTGTATATAGCAAAATACAGTCTTGGTAAACGTGTTATTTGTTCTTTCAAGTATAAACAAGAACATGAGGTAACTTGGAAATGGATACTTTGTTTCCTCTGCTTTTGCAGTAGCAGAATGCCAAACACTGGGCACCTTTTCTAGAGAGTCTTATTTTTCTCCCTTTATAAGCAGAAACATTGCTTCTTTACTTTCTGATGGTACAGAGGGAGATGAATATGTACAGGAGAGAGTAAAACTTTCAAACTCCTCAGTGCTCTTTGGTAGCAGCATTAATACAAATCATGAAATGGCTCTTGAGCATTTACCCTTTTACCTGTGATCTCCTTGCTAAACAAAATATAGAGCTCTTTTATGAGCATGTTTAGGAAGATACTGTATTACAGAATGCTAAATTTTCATTCCTATCTGATCTTGATTTGTGACTATAACTTAATTCTTGCTGCGTTTTATAACTACTGTTCATACTTCGTGAAAGATTACACACGTTTTCTGCAGTAACTGTTAAGTTTGCTTTTGTGAAAGTAGAGGGTAGATAGTTTCTTAGCCAAAACTTCAAGGATTAGGCAAGAAAAATGGAGTAATACTGGTCATTTTGATGAATCTCCTTCTCTGAAGGCAAGTCTATCAGCTGTCAAAATGAAAACTTCTTGGGGAGGCAGGGGAATTTAAATTCTTTGATCCTTCAAAATCTATTTATGTAGGTATTCAGAAGAGACACTGCTTTCCTCTGTAGAAAGGTAACTGACGAAGTTCAGTTACTGTAATTTACATTTCATTTTAATTAAAAAAATTATGGACAGTATAAAAGTATTGTAACTTAGTTCTCAATCTAGGAGAAAAATATCCTTTATGATGCCATGTGTAATGGAAGCAATCTGAAAATAGACTTGGACTCTTAGGTGCTTTTTATATACAGGTATGGCCAAACTTTTGCCAGAGAATACTGAAGTAACTGCCTTGCTTGAGGCACATCAAGTACGTTACTGACGCTGCTGTTAAGCAATCGCTGTAAGTTCTCCTGTTTCATAGGAAAGAGGTAGCTCTGTCCACAAGAAAATTAAAATGGGCCATTGTTTTTTGTGCTTCTCCATTTTAGCCGGCCAGTATTGTCAGCTTGAAAATTCACACTTTTGTCTATAAACTGTATACCTGCAGTGCATAAACTTATCATAGCATCTTCTCGTTGCTTATACTTATTCTGTGGTTAGCTCACAAAGGGAGAAGGTGGTGGCAGGGAACTGAAAGAAAGTTAAGCACTGATAATCCAGTTTTTATCAGAGCTTTAATATTCTGCTTCATTTGTTAGAACTGAATCACAGAATTTGCAGAATGGTTGAGGTTGGAAGGGACCTTTAAAGATCATCTAGTCCAACCCCCCTGCTCAAGCAGGGTCACCTAGAACAGCTTACCTGGGACCCTGCCCAGAATATCTCCAAGGGTGGGGACGCCACTCCCTCTCTGGGCAGCCTCTTCCAGTGCTCAGTCAGCCCTCACAGTAAAAGGTTTTTCCTGATGTTCAGACAGAACTCCCTTCAGATGCTTATACACATGGATCAGCTCCCCCTAAGCCTTCTCTTCTCCAGGCTGAACAGGCCCAGCTCTCTCAGCCTTTCCTCATGAGAGAGATGCTCCAGTCCCTTAATCGTCTTAGTGGCCCTTTGCTGGACTCCAGTAGCTCCATGTTTCTCTTGTACTGGGGAGCCCAGACCTGGACACAGCACTCCAGATGTGGCCTCCCCAGGGCTGAGGGGAAGGATCACCCCCCCTTGACCTGCTGGTAACACTCTTCCAAATGCAGCCCTGGATACCATCGGCCCTCTTTACCATGAGGGCACATTGCTGGCTCATAGTCAACTCGTCGACTCCCACGTCCTTCTCGGCAGAGCTGCTTTTCAGCAGATCAGCCCCAGCCTGTACTGGTGCGGTACGTCTTCTGTAGAAGAATGAACTCCTTTGAGATCACATTTTCAGTATATTTAGAAGTCTGTTAAAGAAGAGTAGGGTTCTGGCTTAATAGAGCAAGGCAGTAGTAAGCCAGCTAATATGTATGATACGCTCGCTCTTGCTATGAGTGTGAAAATTGAAAACAAAAACTAAAAATGGCTTAAAGCAAAGCTTGGAAAAGTTTATCTTATAAATGTTACTGAGAATGGGGTTTTCTATGGAGCAGATAAGTATATGTTTATTAGCTGTCTTGAGAAGCTGTGACCTATGAGCCAACTTACTGTACTGAAAGTTGATGAAACTAGTAGTGTTTAGTATCTCTCTTTATAGTTAACACAAACTCTTCAATAGATAAGGTTGCCCATGCCTTTTAAACTGCTAGAATAGTACAGCTGTTAATACAATTAAGTGGATCGTTCAGTTTGAAATGAGAACTGTGGTTAATTTTCAGAAATTCTGCAAAGGTGGTATTGGACCAATAGATGGTGCCATTACCTTAGAAATTGGTAAGTTATTTACTTGGCAAATAAAATTCATGCAACAGTCATGCTATGTGATGTCATTGTTTAGCCTTTGATTTCTTAAAAGAATCAGACATGTCTGATTCTTTTAATTGCCTTATATCTAATAAAATAATAAATTGTAAAACTATAAATGACTTCATACTGCTCTTAGTAGTTGATCGCATGAATAAAGTCACATAGCTACCATTATGTACATGGTTACTTTAGCACTTTTGTTCTAAAAGCCTTAAAATGTGACGCTTCTGAAAATCCTGGCCATTCATCTTTCCTTCCATGAAAATAACCCAGTAGCAGGAAAAATTCGAATAAGTAGGAAGTAGAATACCAATGGATTAAGTTCACTTCAGTTTAAACCTTGATTCGTTGTCTGGTGTAGGTCTGTTTTCTGATGATTGCATGTTACTCTTGTTCATGCTTTCAAACAAAGTCTGTCTTGGCACAAATGTCTTTTACCTTGCTACACCCAGTACATTGATACTAGTTGTCTGTGCAGTGACCGTGGACTCTAAAGTCAAGAACTACGCTTGAATCAATGAATCAGTCAAAG